GCCGCCATTACCATCGCTACCGTAACCCATGCGAAGAAGAAGAAGAAAGGAAATAAAGGGTATGGGTTCGCAATTCTCTCTCTCTCTCTCTCTCTCTCTCTCTCTACGATGATGATGGCGACGATTAATGATGGCAGCGTGTCATGACCCAAATCTGCCCCTAAAATTTTGATTCATAACCAGTCAGTAATAACACGATTACCTACTGCCTCATACAGAAAACAAATGTTTTTAATAATGGGGCCTTAAGCGGAAGCAAATTTAAGAAATAACGTCCATTGAGCGATGCTTAAATGGTCAAGATAAAATAAAAGTCAAGACATTAAGTTACACATCCACAAGACCAGCATAACAAACACCATACAAAAGTCTTAACATAGACATAGAGTCAAAAGACAACAGCTCCATCTTGGAGTTTCAACACGAGAGGTCCTTATAAGTAATTTCCTGAGGCTGACTCTAAGGTTGACCTCCATGCTGATCACCTACGCACATATAACATAGGGGGTGAGCGACGTTTATTGCATTATAGTAAAGTAAAGAAAATCAAATGAATAATCTTGAATTAAAAGAAAGCATATTATGTGAACACAATACTCTTCCACAATTACATCCTTTACAACATTATCCATAATCATATTTACAGAACGGTCTTAGGTCCAACATATTACGGAACGGCCTCAGGCCCAATATATAACAGAGCGGCCTCAAGCCCAACATCTAACAAAATGACCTCAAGCCCACATATATCACAACGGTCTCGGGCCCACATATTAACATAGCGGCCTTGGGGCCACATATTAACACAACGGTCTCGGGTCCAATCATATATCACAACGGCCTCGGGCCCACATATTAACACAACAGCCTCGAGCCCAATCGTATATCATCATATCATTAACAGAACAACCGTGGGCCCAAGCACATCATAGTGTAAATGGAACGACCTTAGGTCCATATTGCACATGTCATATAACGTTCATAAAACTCATTCATTTCGATCACAACACAATATCAAAATAAGTCACTATACCTAGATCAAAATAATCAATTAAGAAATATCTTCATAATACTATTATTCACAATGATGTTGGTCGTGCGACTGTCCTTCTAGTAGGTGACCTACATAACATAACACATATACAAATTCGGTAAACAATTCATTCAATTCTTAGTCTTTTCCTTTATTTCTTTGTTTTATGATTCATTCGTTTTCCATTCATCTTTAGGCATTTCAGAGGATCAAAACATGCACACACATAGATTCAGAAGGTCGGAGAAGTTAACAGAAAAAGACATTTTTTTCCCAATTTTCCACACATACGGCTTGCATGTGCAATTAAAGCAATAGTGATGCTCAGATTTGTTCTGTTTTCCACACGTGCGGCTGTGAGCTCCGCACATGTAGTTCTAGACTTTTCTGGACAGTCCGAAAATTGATTCAACCTTAAGCTTCTAAACTCATTTTCAAGTCCAAATTCATGCAAAAACAACTCAATAACATGATATACTAACATGATTCATATGTAATTACAACTCAAACACATCAATCTTGCTTCAATGATAAAATCAAGGTCTCATCTTTTTCTTACATTCATAAATTACATAATCATACCCAAAATACATATAAACATAGATGATCTTTCCACAAATCAACAATTTAGAGCTTATTTCATGAATTATTCACAAGATTGAACTCAAATCAAACAAAGGTGAAGAGATTAAGGTTCCACTTCTTGAATTTAGTTCAAACGATTACACATTCCCAAACCCTAACTCACATAAGTGTTGAATCTTCAAATCCTTCTTGATTTCAAGCAAAAGATGAGTTGTATACAAGAATTATAGGTAGATTTCCATAGCTTAGCTCAAATCCAGGGTTTGCCCATTGAATCTCCTCCAAATCCCTAGCTTTTCCTCATCCTCTCTCTCTAACTCATTCTTTAACAAACTCTCAAAATGGTAAACTCAATAAGCTATATACATATATACTTAGGTCAACAAAACTTATTTAAATCATTACAAATCGTAATTTCACAAAATTTTACTGTAGGCTCTAAAAATTATGATAAACATAGATATAAAGTCAGTTTTGGTTTCTAGCGCCTCTAAGGCTTTCAATTTCAGTTCAAAGTTGTAATTGCAACAGATATTCCTACATTCAACAGATATAATTCCAAAATCACATAGTTCACATACTTAAACTTACAAATTCATATCAAACACATAGTCACATGCATAATTAAGCATAATCAGGTAGGTTTATCACACAACGATCGCAAAAGACAGTGATGATGGGTGGTAACAGTGACACCAAAGGATAAAAAATGGTGGAGAGAAATCGATAGTGCTCCAGTGGAGATGGAAAGGGTAGGTAAAAGAGAAAATTAGGGTTTGGAAAATTAGGGGTATAGTTGGGGGGTTCAAAGAGAAAAATGAGTGGAGAGAAAATTATGGTTAGGGCTAGGGTTAGGGTTTGGGAAATTAGGGGTATAGTTAGTATTATGTTGGGGGTCCAAAAAGAAAATAGAGGGGGCTCATTTTGCTAGGTAGGGGTTCAAAGAAGTGGGCGGGTCTAAAGAAGAAAGGTAAGGTAAATAGCAGCCCTCTAATAATAAAGGCGCTCAACCCATAAATCCAAAATTGAATTTTTTTTGCCTAAAAGTCCACATACTAAACTATGTCAATAAGGACATACTTCTGTGAAATGACCAAACTACCTATACATATACCTATATATACCACTCTTTGTCTATCACACTTTGATTTCAAACCCTAATGCAACCAAAGAATCTCAGCCGCCATCTACACCCACCAATTCCAACTCCTTCACTGTCATCTCTACTGTCGTGACCTCTCTTCTCTCCGCTGTCTACCCCAGGTGTCATCTCATCTCCAACGCACGCTATTGTCAGTAGCGAAGATGTACAAGGGGTGGAGGGACACAATGAAGAGACTTTGGAAAGCGGCGGAGGAACTCAAGTTTAGGGTTCTAGCGAAAGCTTAGGTTGGATTCGCCGAATCGATGTTGCAAAAGTGTTCCAGTCTTGTTAGACTATCTCTTAAAATGGCAAGTTTAGGGTTTTCGATGACTATTCATTGGATCTAGTGTTTTTTTGATGGATGAGAAAAATGGGTTTGATGTTTAAAGTATGTTTTGAGTGGTGAAAGGGCTCTCTGTACATATTTTTATTGTGTGGTTTTTGTTTCTCCATTCATTTGTGTGTTTGGTTGCCGAGAAAATCGAAGTAAATCGAGAAAATGAATTCATTTTGGAAATTTCAGTTAATGTTAACCAAGAATAATGTAGATGAGTTGAGCTGTGTACAACTCTGTTTTCTATAGTATATTTCCAGATCTGTAATGTAGATAAGTTGCTTTTGGTAGTGGTTTGAACATGTAAGGAATTGATTGTGATTTTGTTATATAGTGTGTTGTTGCAGCTAAAATTTGTAAAATTTTGACCAATAAAAGGCTCAGATTTGTTCAAAAATTGAAAGGTAGGTTGAGATATGTTCAAAAAATTATATAGATAAAAAAAAAAAAAGATTTCACAATAAAGGAAATAGACTTGGCGAATTCAACGAATAGATTAAAATATTAAAATAATTTGGACAAATAAGAAAAAACTAAGACATTTCAAATTTGAAAAAATATACTTTAACAAATAGGTTATATATAATAAAAAAAAATTTAACATATAGAAGTTAATTTGGACAGACAAGAAAAAATTAGGACATATTTCAACAGATAGATTTTTTCAACAAATAGGTTAATAATTTTCACAGATAGATATAAATTTAAACAATTAGGTTTAAAAAAATTAAACAGATAAAACAATATTTGAATAGGTAGGTTAAAATAAAGAGCAAACTTGGAAATAAAATATCCTCCAAAATAATGAAATATACTTCCCATAGGACCTTACGCCTCAAGCAATCCTCATATTGAATTTATCGCTAATTTTCTCTAATAATAATAAAGAGAACCCATAATTCAACCCAATCCAATCCCATAGCACCACCTTCATCCTGTACTTCCTTGTTGAAGAATTACAAGAGAATATTATTTGATGAAATTATGAAGGTGAATGGCAGCCAAAACCAACTCTTCATTCACTCAACCACTCATGACACATACATACATACATACGTAGGCTTAGGATTGGTGGTGGCAGGGAATGGCGGTCAGTGGGGACGGTGGTGAGCCTGCCAAGAGGTGGCTGGGGTGGTTTGGTGGTGTACAGTTAGGGCTAACATTTAGCAGAGAAGATGAAATATGACGTATACATATGGGGTATTGCGGATTTTTTGTTATTATTGTTAACAAAGTTATGTGTTGTTTACAAACCAAATGAGAGTTATGTAATTATTTTTAAATGACAAAAAGGTTTAAATTATGATCGATAGCAGGTATATAAACAGTGATTTCAAATCCAAAGATTAATGGTTTAATCGTACTCTGACAACTATACATAAGGCAAAGTTTGATTTTTTGAGGGGTGATAGTTAAAAATATTGACAGATAAGTCACCCTTACTGCCACTCTATTGAACTATACATAAGATTTGCACCTCATACAACTTGTTTAATTCTTTCGAAGTCAATGAATCCTTTTCTTAATCTGATTTATTTCATACCCCTCACTCAATGAGAAAATGAGTGAAAATTTACAGCATCAAACCTATGGAACTTCAGGAATGATATAAAAAAAAAGGAGGGAGAAAATATTAAAAAATATTAAATAAAAATGAAATAAGAGAGTCCAAATTTCAAATGAACAAATTCAAACTAAGAAAAAGATCTTTCTGATTCTCGAAGAATTGAGGGGCAAAAAGAATTGATCGAGAAAGATCTCTTGTTCTTATTATAACAAGAGGAACTTAATTTAACTATAACAAAAACTCGTGAGGATTAGTGTAGTGTAATTTACCATAGTAATAATAGTTGGAAACCACTAACCACCATCTACAAACCTGATGCAGAGGACTTTAACACCTGTTTCAAAACTTCAAAATAATAAGAAGGAAGCAGCTCAACTATTATTTCAATGTAGCTGCAAAGACATATATATGTTCCATACACAGGAAAAATCGCAGGTAGGAAGAAGTCAATCCATCCAGATCAGATGCATCCAAAAACATATCTAAATGGAAAATAATAGAATCCCAACATACTTATAAAGACTGCAAATTTAAAAGCATTAATAAGGATCAGCAAGCAAAATGAAGGTCCACCTTAACAGTTGCAGCCTCCAGAAGCCGATCTAGACAATCCATTTTACTCCATATTATTCCCACATTACTTGACTATGCAAATCTTAATAACCGAGGCAGCGCCAATGCGATGAAGCGCCACAACAGCATCACCAGGCTGGCACAAACCCTTCTCTATTGCTGACTTCAATGCAGCTTCCAAGATCACCTCCGTAGATTCAGCATCAGTTGCCTTCGCAGATCCTTCAGCAAGAAGTGGAATCAAACCCCTGTAGATCAAACTATGCCTTGCAGGTGTCTCATCACTACAGGTCCAATCAAAAGAATCAGTGGTCAAAACCGGGACTACAACCGACAGGATCGGGACAGCTGGCCGATACTTGGCGACTAGTTTGGCAGTTGTCCCGCCACGTGTCAACACCACAATGAGTTTTGCTCTAGCCTTGTTAGCCGTTCGGACAGCCGAGGACGCAAGGCTCTCCAATGGGCTCATTGGCAGTGGAGTTGACTTTATCATCTCTTTAAAGATAGCCCCATAATCGAGCGACGACTCTGCCTCAATGCAAATTCGAGCCATGATTTTCACAGCAAGCTCGGGATAGGCTCCTGCAGCGCTTTCCCCACTAAGCATGACACAATCAGTGCCATCCAAGACAGCATTAGCTACATCGGTGGCCTCAGCACGGGTTGGCCGGGGAGACTTGATCATCGATTCAAGCATCTGTGTGGCAGTTACAACTGGCTTGCCAACAAGATTACATTTGTATATCATCATTTTCTGTGCCAGGAAGATTTTCTCAACTGGGATTTCCATACCAAGATCACCTCGGGCAACCATAAAGGAGTCAGTCTCGCGTAAGATTTCATCAAAGTTGATAACTCCCTCCTGGTTCTCAACCTTCAAAAGAACCCAGCAGTCAAAAATCACACGAACATCAACAAATACTACACCCTCAAAATCTAGCAATTGTAGATGTCAACTTCGGCTTAAATGGGAACAATAAAAATTCTTATAGGATTGTGTGTGTGTGTGTGTTTTAAATATCAGCCATTACATATCATATTGCATTACGTACAGATTTCGATATATGAGCTGATACTATGTGATATTTGACCGACATATAATCGTATCACTGTTACTGATAAAGAGACCGATACCATTATTTAAAACCTATGTTACATGGACTCAGTTATGAGAATTGGGTACGGGTACGGATACGACCTTCATGAACTTAAATGTTAGGAAATTGGGATGTGTATTCAAAAGTAGGATATGGGTATGAGGACTCCTTATGGACACTTGTATATGTTACATATTATGTTAGATTTAGGAAACATATTTAATTTGTAAATCAGATTTAGGAAAAATATATAATTTCTAACAAATCAGATTTTTAGGAAAAACATATAATTTCTATTTCTCATCAGGTTATAAATGTTTCTTTTCTAACAAATTTGAACTTCTTATTCTTCAAAACATAGTAAAAAGTTGGAAGATCCAAATGTCTAAATTCGGTAGTCCCCACGTCATGTCCGGTGGACATGGGTATTTTTGAGAAAAATAGAAGAGTCCGTGTAACATAGTTTAAACCATAGCCACCCCAATACAATAAATCAATGGAGACTTGTAATAAATAATCGTAATTGTATATCAGATTTCCTGCAGACATTACATCAAGCAATGCAATCCGAACATGACTCAACTTGATGAAGCATTGTCCCAACCAACCCAATCCAAATATATCAACAATCTCCAAGGTTAAATATTTTAGACAAAGTCTAGATATAACATGTCAATGATGTCATATTATACACAAACTAAACCATAAATCACTATGTACTAAAATTATATATAATGTCTGCAGTTAAATTAACATATGTAGCAAATCTAAATATAACATATAAAATATTATATTAAATAGCATACATGATATAGTTTATAATATTTAATCTGTCAGTCCCTTTTATGTGTTGGCACAAACATTCCCTAAAATGTGGTGGGAGGGAGTACAGACACCAAATAAAATTATCTAACTATAAAGAAAAGACATTTCGTTTTAGTAGTTGTATCCGTGTCTGACATTTGGACACGGATACACTAAGAAACGTGTTGTACACATCACGTGGCATGTCCGATTTGTTATTATATTTTTCAATGGAAACGTTAGGGCCACTACAAGGACCTATGAAGCATGAGTACTTGGAAAAACATTCCGTACCAATACTGGGTGCTTACGGGCATATGGTGCCTAGTATGATACTTTTGCATACGTACCAGCCGGATATACGAAACACCGATCCAAATTTTTACTTTTTAATTTTTGACGTACCCAAACATATCTAGTATATACCCAAGCCGTATCGTACCGTACCTCAGTTGAAACAATATTTTCTTCTACTATAGAGATAAAACTCCTTCCACTAGACTTCTTTTTTAATTTTAGTTTTATGCTTAGCGTGATTTTAAAATTAAACTATGGTTTGTAAGTTATTTAATATATTGACATTTAATTCTGATTTATACTTTTACAAATTGAATTATTTGGGATAATCTAAATAAATATACTTTTTGACTTTTTACGAAAAGATGTGCAGAAAAGTAGATAAGTAATGAGACTTAAATAAGTGCACTTATCTAAATAAGTGCACTTATCTAAATAAGTGCACTTTTTATCCATCATGCCAAACAACTATTAAACCATTTAATTAATTTTTGCATTACTCTAAATTAAAAATAAATAGTTTTTTTACAAGCGTAGCAAGCCGTACCTGTACCTTACTTTTTTGGATTTTACCATATCAACGTACCTGTATCATACCAATACCAGTATTCGTACAGGTACCCGTGCTTCATAGACAAGGACTCGTGTGTCATGTCCAATTATGTTTGTAATGTTACAAGTGTGAATTGTAATATCAAAAGTGAGAATTGTAATATTAAAGCGATATGATCAATTAAAACTTAAAAAATCATAATGAAGCTATGTATGTTTAAACAGAAACCTAGCAGCAAATAAATAAAGAAAGGAGATGAAGAAGTCCTAGCCAAAAAAACATAACGGCCTTGTTTGGTTTGGTTTTGAGAAAGTAATTTTAGAGAAAATTTTTTAAAATTTTATTTGGTTTAGTGATTTTGGAAAAAAAAAAATTAAATCACTCTCTCCCTCCTACATATCAATCAATCACTTTTTCTCTCTCCTCTCTCTTTTTTAATCACTTCTTCTCTCACACAACTCAACTATAACAAAATATCAAATCATCCCAAATTTCCATATTCCAAAACTATTTTCAAAATATACAACCAAACAAACCAAAAAAAAAATTCTAAACTTTCCCCTCAAATTTTTTTTTGAAAATTTACCTCCCAAAACCAAACCAAACACACCCAACATTTTTATGCCTCTGTGATTGGGACAAAAATAAAACCTATTTAAGCCCTTGTTGAAAGATTTCATACGGATTTTGTTTTATTTAAATCCATATCTGCATCCTGAATTTTTTTTAAATTGTCATGTCCCATGTTCGTGCCTATAATTCTTTCTATCGAATGTGTGTGTAGAAACAGAGAGAGGGCTATTAGTATGGATAGTGGTTATGAAGTCCTGCTGACAGCCCCTTCCTTTATGGGATTGGCTAAAAAATAGTGATAGGCATGGAGAGGGCTCCCCTCATGCAATCCAGTTGTAGTTGTCTTGGCTGCGGCCCTTTAATTACCAAAAAACAAAAAAAAAAGAAACACACACAGACATAGAGGGACATTGATCATATGCATAGAAGCAAAGAAGGTTGCTGCCAAATTACTAAAACTCCTCTATAAGTTTTGCAGAAATTTAGGTTAAATTTCCCAAGCAGGAAGAGGTTACCAACAACCTACCCCAAAAACAAAAAAGATAGAATGTTCATTATGATAATAAATAGTTTATGACAACATTTAATTTGCATACCTTTGACATCAATTGTATATGCTTGGCATGAATCCCAAGAACCTTTCGGACATTAACAAGATCCGAGCCCTTGCGCACAAAAGAGAGAGCAATCATATCGATGTTGTTAGGAACACCCCATTCCAGGATGTCTTCCTTGTCCTTCTCTGTAAGTGTAGGAAGATCCACCACAACACCAGGAAGATTCACATTCTTCCTCTCACCTAAGACAGCAGTGTTCTGGCAACAGCATCTCACTGTTCCAGCAGCTGGATCACATGACAAGACAGTAAGACTGATAGTGCCATCTGCACATAAGATGGTATTCCCAGGCTTCACATCAACAGGCAGCTTTTTGTAGCTCATGGAGATCATCTCCGCATCCCCTTTTATGCTGTAATCAGTGGAAATAGTAACTTCCTGACCCTCCTTGAGTTGAACAGGCTTTGCATCCTTTAGGAAACCAGTTCGAATCTCAGGTCCCTGCAATAAAAGAAAAAACCATGACACAGCCATATAAAATGACTTTAAGAGATGCAATATATAAGAGTTATAAAAGGTGAACAAGACATAATTAAAGATACAAATACATAAAAGCAAAAAATAATTATCACACATGCCATGTCCTATAGGAGGATGAAAGGAACATACGTACTCCAGGCACTTTGTGATTAATTGTTCAAGAGTTAAAAATCGTTGATTCCTTTTTATTCAAATTTGTAGTGAATTGGTTGACCAACTCAAGTGGCTGGTTGACCAACATGCTTGACAGGTTGACTTGGACCAGTCTAGGTTAACCAAGTTTAAACGTTTATAGCTTGTGAAGCTCTTGTGCTGTGCAAATCTTAACCTTTTACTTAAATTCTTTTAAGGTGTACAATGCATTCATGTCATACATTCACATTAAGATACATAAAATAAACGTATGTGATGTAAAGCAAATGAACACAAGGATTTAAAGTGGTTCAGTATACCTCTCGTGCATACATCCAATCCAGAGTTACCTTGCCAGCTATGAAGCATGGGTACTTCAACTAACATATTGTACTTGTGTGGGTACTTACCGGGATACTTTGCATTGTAGTTTCACATTAGGAATGGCAATGGGGGGCAATGGGGTGGATATTAATTCCCCATCCCCATTCCCCTATAATAAATTTTCCTCATTCCCCATTCCCCATTCCCCATGGGTACCACCCTCCCCATTTTTTAATGGGTATGGATTTTCCCCAACCCACTTTAATCCCCATTTTTATTTTTTATATTTAATGTTAACAACCACTTTTTTTTTTTTTCTAAAATTTTGTTTGGTTTAGTGGTTTTGGAAAAAAAATTTCCGAAATCACTTTCTATCTCCTACACATCAATCAATCAATCACTTTTTGTCTCTTCTCTCTCCTTCTCAATCACTTTTTCTATCACGCACATTTACTCAATTACAACAAAATATCAAATCATCTCAAAATAAACTCCCACACTCCAAAACTATTTCCAAAATATACAACCAAATAAACCAAACAAATTTCTAAACTCTTTCCGTAAGATTTTTTTTGAAAATTTATCTCCCAAAACCAAACCAAACACACCCAACATTTTTATGCCTCTGTGATTGGGACAAAAATAAAACCTATTTAAGCCCTTGTTGAAAGATTTCATACGGATTTTGTTTTATTTAAATCCATATCTGCATCCTGAATTTTTTTTAAATTGTCATGTCCCATGTTCGTGCCTATAATTCTTTCTATCTAATGTGTGTAGAAACAGAGAGAGGGCTATTAGTATGGATAGTGGTTATGAAGTCCTGCTGACAGCCCCTTCCTTTATGGGATTGGCTAAAAAATAGTGATAGGCATGGAGAGGGCTCCCCTCATGCAATCCAGTTGTAGTTGTCTTGGCTGCGGCCCTTTAATTACCAAAAAAAAAAAAAAAACAAACACACACACATAGTGGGACATTGATCATATGCATAGAAGCAAAGAAGGTTGCTGCCGAATTACTAAAACTCCTCTATAAGTTTTGCAGAAATTTAGGTTAAATTTCCCAAGTAGGAAGAGGTTACCAACAACCTACCCCAAAAACAAAAAAAAATAGAATGTTCATTATGCTAATAAATAGTTTATGACAACATTTAATTTGCATACCTTTGACATCAATTGTATATGCTTGGCATGAATCCCAAGAACCTTTCGGACATTAACAAGATCCGAGCCCTTGCGCACAAAAGAGAGAGCAATCATATCAATGTTGTTAGGAACACCCCATTCCAGGATGTCTTCCTTGTCCTTCTCTGTAAGTGTAGGAAGATCCACCACAACACCAGGAAGATTCACATTCTTCCTCTCACCTAAGACAGCAGTGTTCTGGCAACAGCATCTCACTGTTCCAGCAGCTGGATCACATGACAAGACAGTAAGACTGATAGTGCCATCTGCACATAAGATGGTATTCCCAGGCTTCACATCGACAGGCAGCTTTTTGTAGCTCATGGAGATCATCTCCGCATCCCCTTTTATGCTGTAATCAGTGGAAATAGTAATTTCCTGACCCTCCTTGAGTTGAACAGGCTTTGCATCCTTTAGGAAACCAGTTCGAATCTCAGGTCCCTGCAATAAAAGGAAAAACCATGACACAGCCATATAAAATGACTTTAAGAGATGCAATATATAAAAAGAGTTATAAAAGGTGAACAAGACATAATTAAAGATACCAATACATAAAAGCAAAAAATAATTATCACACATGCCATGTCCTATAGGAGGATGAAAGGAACATACGTACTCCAGGCACTTTGTGATTAATTGTTCAAGAGTTAAAAATCATTGATTCCTTTTTATTCAAATTTGTAGTGAATTGGTTGACCAACTCAAGTGGCTGGTTGACCAACATGCTTGACAGGTGACTTGGACCAGTCTAGGTTAACCAAGTTTAAACGTTTATAGCTTGTGAAGCTCTTGTGGTGTGCAAATCTTAACCTTTTACTTAAATTCTTTTAAGGTGTACAATGCATTCATGTCATACATTCACATTAAGATACATAAAACAAATGTATGTGATGTAAAGCAAATGAACACAAGGATTTAAAGTGGTTCAGTATACCTCTCGTGCATTCATCCAATCCAGAGTTACCTTGCCAGCTATGAAGCATGGGTACTTCAACTAACATATTGTACTTGTGTGGATACTTACCGGGTATTGATACTTTGCATTGTAGTTTCACATACTTATCAGGTACAAGAAACGTATATCCAATTTTTTTTTCTCTTACTTTTTGCCGTAGTCCGAAGGTACCAAGTATATACTCAAGTCCAAAAATTGGTTTAGACACAATTTCAATAGAAACTCTATGAAATTCTAATATTTAGAATATAATTTGAACAGCACAGCATATGCAGTCAAGGAACAAATTTGTGTTTCTTTTCCATTGAAACAAGCAAAACATTTCCAATTCCTTGAAAACCAATATGAAGCATTAGTGGAATACCAAAATTTATGTTTCCACCAAAACACACAACAATACAAAACATATAGAAATAACAAATATCAGGAATATTCAAACAAAGTCATTTCTATTTGCCTTCTTTCATAAATATATATATATATATTCGAGACCAAAGGAAAATTTTAATTTTATTGGAAAATCTGATAAACTAGAAAGGAGAAGAGAGTTCTACAAGTTAAGAGAAGTGCTGTACAACTTGCAAGTGCAGCTCCTTTTTTTTCATAATCCCTTAATGATAGCAGTTAAGAGAGTTCTAGAAACAACTGTTGTACTCCTTGCACTTCCAAAACCAACAAAAATCAAGTGTCTCTCTTATAATTTTCCAAGGAAAAAAGTAGGTTGTGTTTGGAGAAGCTCTCCAAACACATTTCCACCCATTGATTTCAATGTGATATTTGTTTTGAGTTTTCAAATTATAATTCAACACCCACTTTTGAAAACTCCTTTTCAAGCGGGAAAATTTGGCTAACCTGATTGTCCTCCCAGACGTCCCCTAATTGACCAGAACAGTGTTCTTTTTTTTTTTTTTTTGGCACCTGTTATTTTTATATTTTAAATAAAAAAATATTCCCATAATTTTTTTAAATAGGATTTTGGATTATGTTTTTGGTTATGAGTTGTAAGTTTTTGAATTAAATATCATATGTCACATTATTTTTTTCAAACTCAATTCAAAACTCATAACTAAACAAATTTTCCACACTCAAATCATAATTCCAAAACTCACAAACTCAAAATACAACTCTATTCTCAAATCATATTTAAAAAATTCTACCAAACGCTACTATAATGTTTCCCCCATAATTTCTCTACTAATAAAGAGCTACATATCATTTCATATTGCACTAGCAGGAATATAGGATACAAAACTCACTGCCAGATGTTGCACTCATATCACCCATTGGCAGCGATGTCACTGTTAGCCAAATAGGAACTCAAAAATCTCACACTTACTTTTATTCTAATAAGCCTTGCAGGGCACCTAATCCTCTATGTATTGGCATAGTCCTCTATGCATATGAAAATGATTCTAAGCAATTCAGTTCACTTAAACCATATTGTAGAGTACTACTTACTAACTGTACTAAGCAATTCAGTTTGCTTATTTTTTTTTAACAAAAACAAAGAAAAGGAAAACAAAAAATGCATAGTGCTAGCATTTACGTAAATCTGACAAGAGAGCTTATCAATCATTAATTAAACTAAGAACAAGAATACCAAAAACTGACCTTGGTATCAAGCATGACAGCACACAAGATCTGAGTGTTCTGCATGGCAATCCTGAGATTGTTCAAGGTCTCCTGATGGTATTCATGGGTACCATGCGAGAAGTTGAATCTGGCAACATTCATCCCTGCCTTTAGAAGCTTCTCAAGCATGGGTACACTTCGAGAAGCCGGGCCGAGGGTACACACAATCTTTGTCTTGGGAATGCGACCATCATTCGGGAGTTCTTTCAAGATTCCCTCAATTTCTATGTTTGCCATTTCACTAAATCCTGCAATAAACCTACAAAAACAACCCAAAAAAATGGAGAAATGGGTAAGAATCAAGAAGATGTGAAAAATTTCCCTGCATTAGCAATTTTTGCATGAAGGGTACAAACAGTGTTTCTTTTGTTTTGTGATTCATCCGTTTCTTTGGCCACAAATTGAACATTTGCATAGTTGGGATTTGGGAACCAAGGGGAGCAACCCTAAATTATTATATGCAAAACCCTTCTCTCTTTTTTTATAAAGTTATCAGGATATGTATCGGTATGAACGATACCGTCAATATCAAACAGTATCGACAACTAATATCAATTAATAATGGCATCAGAAATCCAAAATCCCAAACCATAACAGCTGATGTTTAAAACTCTGGCAAAACCTCTTCATATTTGGTTTTTCATTTTTCAGGAGAAAGAGGGCTAAAAATATCTTTAAAATTAAACAGAGAAAATAGATTGCCCCATTCCTTAGTTAATCTATACCAGCAGTCAGCACCAAAGGAAAAAAATAAAACAACAGATCATAAAAATATAAAATTCAAAAAAAAATTAATTCAAAAAATAAAAAGCTGAAAAGTAGCTGAAGCACTGAAGATCATGGAGTTATTAACTAAACCCATGTCATTTTTAAACAAATTACCCTAAACCCTACACTCAAAACAACTTGGGATTTGGGGAATCTGCTTCAAAATAACAGGAGTTTAGTGATCAAACACGTTGATCATACATAAATTTCTAAATCTACACATACATAACAAAGATCGGCAAATACAAATCAAAGCAAAACCATCATCAATAACTAAAATTAAAAGTAAAATAAAAGAATACCTGGTGGATGTATTCACAGAAAAACGTTAGATCTGCTAATCCACCACAATCACATTCAATTCAAGACTAGTAGTATCTTGATTGCTATTTTTTTTTTTTTTAAACCTGGGTAGTTTTAAAACGAAAAAAGTAAGAGAAATCACAAGAACAGAGCAGAGAAAAGAAAACCCACTTACCAGAAAAGAACCAAAGCACCCTGTTTCACGCCTCGTGGTTTTGATGAAGACTCCTCGTGCTAGCTAACGACAGCACAAGTGTACCTACTCAGCCCACGCGCGACCTCTTCGAATTCTCGCTACTACCTCTGCTAACCCTAATTAGAGTGGTGTGCTGAGGTTTGACGCTTTATGAGAGAGAGACCGATATACAAAATATATAAATAATCACGGCTAGGCAAAATTACAAAACATATTCTACCAAAAAAAAAAATTACAAAACATACAAAATACTAGATTTGGGGGTTTAAAATTTACTAATAAATCAATTTTAATTACAGTAAACTTAACAAATAATACAAATAAAAATGCTAGAGTCTCATATTTTACACCTACAAACTCATCTATAATGATATGATAAAAGTGGTTGATTCCATATTATTAAGTGTGTAATCAGTAAAAAAATTATCACTGATCAAACCATATTATTATAGGTTGAATTATATGAAATTTTTAAAAGTCTTAAACATTTTGCTAATACAAAATGTGGAATCTATTTCTTAAATTTATCAAAGTGCCTTTCTCTTTCAACCCAAAGGTGTGATTGAGTGGTGATAGATGTTATATCCAAAGTCTAGGTTTGACTCTTTTCGAAGACAAACATTACCTATGTATGAGTCTACAATTTTACGTTAAATAGTTAAGGCCCGTTTGTTTTGGGAAATGAAAGAAAGATTGGGATTAGGATAGTTGTGAGTTTTATTTAATGTGCTATTTATTTACAGAGTTGAGAAAGGGACTGTTAAGCTGAAGGGCTTAGGATAGGCTTTGGAGATGGAATTCGGATCGACCTCCAGGACTTGGTATTAGAAAAATAGTCCGGCGGACTATAATTTTTTTATTTTTTTATTTTTTTTTACATGTCAGGTATTTTTTTTAACATTAATGTTTAATTTTTTGTATTTTTTGTTAAGTAAAAATTATTATTTTATTTATTTTATTTTATTTTGAAAATTTTTTATTTTATTTTTATTTTTTTAAATTTTTTTACATATTAGGCATTTTTTTAAAAACATTAATGTTTAACATTTTTGTATTTTTTTTATTATTTTATATAAAAATACTTTAACAATCCCTACACTAACAACTATTATCAAAATAAACACAATTTTACTTAATTCCCTCACTATCTATCCCCTCACTATTAATCCCTATCAATTCCCTCTATTCTACCTCTGAAAACAAACGGAACCTAAGTGATTCTACTATATAATACTAGTATTATACAATGAATAGGACAAACTCCGTTTATATACGAGTCCTCAACTTCATGCTACATAGTTAAATAACTCCGTTATGTAGTAACCAGTGTTATATGTTTAGTACAACAAATCCCGCTTATGTCTGAGTCTGTAACTTCACACTACATGGTTAAATGACTCTACTATGTAATATTTAGTGTCATAAAACACCAACTAAAAGTGACTTCTAAAGTCTTGACTCCATTATGGTGCAGCCCTAGAAAAAATTTAAATCACTCATTTATGAGAAAAATGTATAATGCACACCACATTTAGAAAATGTATAATGCACACCACATTTTGTAGTAATTTGTTATGACTTAGTGTTATCATAACTTGCATGATAAACACTCTCAAAATGATGTATTCTCTCCCATTTATCATATTTCTCTCAAATCTCATTGTTTTGCCTCAAACTTGACTCATTTTTACTATATTTTCCCTAAATTTCAAATCTCTTCCCTTATTCACTCATCTATTGGCACAAAAATACAAGTATATAACTCTAATTCATATATTTAAATTATATAAAATATATTTTACAATTATTTTCATTAGTAACTATTCTCTTTGGTAATAATTTGAATAAAATTTTTATAAAAATTGGATCTCAAAATAATTCATTTTTCCACATCCCTTGCATCACAATTATAACAGATTATTTTGGTACAATTTATAAAGGTTGTTTAAAATTTTTTATTTGAAAATATAGGGAAATTTTTTTATAAAAAAAAAACTAAAGATTTGAAACTTATAATAAAATAATATTTTTATTTTATCAATTGAAATCCTAATTTTTTATTTTTTTTCAATTTAAATCATTAGCATATTTTCATTAACTAAAAATGACAGTATTTTAATTATTAAACTTAATAAAAAATGATAGTTTAGATATTTTTTTGTACACTTGGAGCTTTTCAACGTTTCATCAAATTTAATGAAAATTGATATGATATGATATATTCCAATGGTAAATTTAAAACTTTTATCAAATCTTGTTACAAGCCTAATTGTCCAGGAGAATGTCCTATGTTTAATTTTTTGTATTTTTTGTTAAGTAAAAATTATTATTTTATTTATTTTATTTTATTTTGAAAATTTTTTATTTTATTTTTATTTTTTTAAATTTTTTTACATATTAGGCATTTTTTTAAAAACATTAATGTTTAACATTTTTGTATTTTTTTTATTATTTTATATAAAAATACTTTAACAATCCCTACACTAACAACTATTATCAAAATAAACACAATTTTACTTAATTCCCTCACTATCTATCCCCTCACTATTAATCCCTATCAATTCCCTCTATTCTACCTCTGAAAACAAACGGAACCTAAGTGATTCTACTATATAATACTAGTATTATACAATTAATAGGACAAACTCCGTTTATATACGAGTCCTCAACTTCATGCTACATAGTTAAATAACTCCGTTATATAGTACCCAGTGTTATATGGTTAGTACAACAAATCACGCTTATGTCTGAATCTGTAACTTCACACTACGTGGTTAAATGACTCTACTATGTAATATTTAGTGTCATATAACACCAACTAAAAGTGACTTCTAAAGTCTTGACTCCATTATGGTGCAGCCCTAGAAAAAATTTAAATCACCCATTTATGAGAAAATGTATAATGCACACCACATTTTGTAGTTATTTGTTATGACTCATAATAAATAGTGTTATCATAACTTGCATGATAAACACTCTCAAAATGTTGTATTCTCTCCCATTTATCATATTTCTCTCAAATCTCATTGTTTTGCCTCAAACTTGACTCATTTTTACTATATTTTCCCTAAATTTCAAATCTCTTCCCTTATTCACTCATCTATTGGCACAAAAATACAAGTATATAACTCTAATTCATATATTTAAATTATATAAACTATATTTTACAATTATTTTCATTAGTAACTATTCTCTTTGGTAATAATTTGAATAAAATTTTTATAAAAATTGGATCTCAAAATAATTCATTTTTCCACATCCCTTGCATCACAATTATAACAGATTATTTTGGTACAATTTATAAAGGTTGTTTAAAATTTTTTATTTGAAAATATAGGGAAATTTTTTTATAAAAAAAAAACTAAAGATTTGAAACTTATAATAAAATAATATTTTTATTTTATCAATTGAAATCCTAATTTTTTATTTTTTTTCAATTTAAATCATTAGCATATTTTCATTAACTAAAAATGACAGTATTTTAATTATTAAACTTAATAAAAAATGATAGTTTAGATATTTTTTTGTACACTTGGAGCTTTTCAACGTTTCATCAAATTTAATGAAAATTGATATGATATGATATATTCCAATGGTAAATTTAAAACTTTTATCAAATCTTGTTACAAGCCTAATTGTCCAGGAGAATGTCCTGCCATGAGAGCCCGGTTCTCTGGGACCTCAGAACAAATGTCCGACATAATGACCACCTAAAAAATTTGATAAAAGGATAAAGTTCCATTGAATTGATGAAAACTATAACTCTACCTTCATTTGATATCAATTTGATAAAATGATTGAGGTTGAGTTTTAATATGTTCTTCATCAAATTTAAATTTGATGAATGATCAGAGATGGCCTTACATTGAGTATAATTTTAACTATTTTCTATTAATTTTATTTAATAGAAATAAATAAATTATTTATTTAAATTAAAATATTAAAGTTTAAATTAAAATCATTAAGAATTTATTTTGTTACAAGGCTTAATTGGAAAAAAAAAATTGTAACCTTTCCTTAAAATTAATAATTATTTAAAAATTAAAAAAAATATTTAATACTTTTATTATTTGGAATAATTACAGCCAATGAAGTAATAAAAATAAATAAATATTCATAAAAAAATTATTAATTTATATATTTTTTTTTAAATTATTGCTAATGCAACATTTTTCTTATTATTTTATGAATTTTGATACAGTTCCTCACAAAATCCAACCTTCAGACCCCCACGCACTTATCAGAGAGATAAAAGAAAAAAAATATTTGCATACATACATATGATCCACATCAATTAAAGATTATGGGAGTCACTCATATTTAGGCTAAGTTTGAGAAGATAAGAAAAAATTAAAAAGTCAAAAAATTACTCAAAAAATTAAAAAGTTAACATTATTTATCAAAAGTCAACAATTACGGCTGCACAACTCTCAATCCTAATTTTCCCCTACAAACTAATTTTTACAATTTTTTAATACACATTTTTTCATAAAAAGTCAAAAAATTAACCCAAACATCCATATTTTTTTTCTCAATTTTTTAGTCTAAAAAGACAAAAAAAAAAAACACCTATTTAAGACATCCCAAACAACCCCTTAGAGATCTCACACATTAATCTTTTTATCTATCAATTAGGTCAAGTTTGGCAAGTTACAAAAAAGTTAAAAAGTCAAAAAGTTACTCAAAAAGTTAAAAAATTATCACTATTCACTAAAAGTCAAAAAGTACAGCTGCATAACTTTCAATCCTAATTTTCCCCTACACACTAATTTATACAATTTCTTAATACATATTTTTTTATAAATAGTCAAAAAGTTAACCTAAATAATTGTATTTTTTTCTCAACTTTTTAATTTAAAAAATCAAAAAATATACTTATTTAAGACATCTTAAACAACCCGGAGAAGATGTCCCACTTCCACTGCACCATATTAGAACATGCGTGCAGTTCACGGGAAGGGAATATTACGACGGATATCTCATCCTACCTTTTTAATGCCGTTCAATTTTGGGTGACTATTTATTTATTTTTTAATGTTTTTTCAACCTTTCTATTTTCTCTTCTGACCTTGTTTTTTAATAGTGTGTGCGGCAAAAAAGTTGGGTGATTCCGGTGGCGGAAGTCCTGCTGCTATGGGCGCACGCCATTTTAACAGACCATT